GGAGATTGGGGTGGACTGGGGGAGTGAACTGACCACTACCACCACTAACTCTAATTTAAGATAGTAGAGATAGAGTGGAAAGATAGTCGTGTATGGTAATGAAAAGATAGAATAACTATCAGTTGCATGATATGCCCCCACATAAGTGCTTATTCATAAGATAGTAGAGATACTCTATATTTCACGAGTGGAAAGATAGTCTTTTATGGTAATGAAAAGATGGAATAACTATCAGTTGCATGATATGCCCCCACATAAGTGCTTATCCATTCCATGGTATCAGATTTCAGATTCTCTTCATCAAATGCTTTCACCATGAGAATTTTTCCATTGTGTTCCTTGTGTCCACAAATAAATATCATTAGGACAAAATGGTTACAGTGATGGCCTAGAAGGAGAATGTGGTTATTTAGTTGCAGCCCGTAGAACTATCGAGTTATCCGGTGGCATTGAATGGTTTTCCTTCCAACAAACTGTGCAGGTAAGTTCAAGTTCATAACCAAGCAAATATATGGACTTTTGAGATATGGGCTACCACAAGTTAGGCATTCGATGAGGTAATGAAGATACTAGCGCAACTTGCTTAGTGTGAATAAAGAGCCTTATTTGATTGCAAAACTATGTTTAAATTTCTATATGAAAATAAAATAAGAATGACATCAGGTCAGCAGAACATCCCAACTCTATAAGAATGTTCTCAGTTGAAGAGAATAAGTTGGTTGAGAGTACCTTCGACCTTCCTCCTCTCGGCGTTTTGCATCATACTCTTTGCTGGGGGGATATCTTGGCAGACTTGAAGGATTGCAAGCATATGGTTTTGTTGTAAAAAACTGCAAAAACATAATTATAAATACATTGTAAAATTTCTAAATCAATAAGAACAAAACAAAATCGTGGATGGTATCATAGGGTAGCATTTACACATTCAACTCAATAATTAATTGTGAACTGTTTTTAGCTAGCTCCAGTTTGCAAGCTACAACATTTTCCAACAGATATACACATCAAGTAGACCACAGAAACAGGTAGCACTATATGTTTATAAGTATCATCAATGATCCAAACAATTGGACCCAACTAGAGAACGGTGACTCTCTTAGACAATGCAGCTAACTAGGATGAACTCTTAATTATAAAATGTTAAAATTCCAATCAGAATAAAGCTGTTTTATTTAAGAAACAAAAAAAGGAAGGTTGAAATGGTTTAATGTACTTGATCAAATATAACATGTACGAGTCCAAAATAACAAAACAGAATTGTCTCTTGACACTGGAGAAAAGTAGAAGGAATTTAATACCTCACTTTGCAACGCAGAAGATGCTGTCCGTCGCTCAGCTGGGTCTACTGAAAGAAGAACATCTACTAATGCTAGAGCAGGTGAAGGAAAGTCTTTAAATGTGTCTGTAACACGCCTTGGATATGGATGCTGTGGCTTAAAAATGGTTGCATGGGGAAGTTTAGACTTCCTCCAATAGTCCTCTGATGGCGAACCACAGAGTTTAAATATTTTATGTAACTGCTCAACCTGCAGAAAGAATAGTATACACAAGTTGGTTTTATGACAAAATTGAGAACATTATATCTTGTTGCATTTGCTTCGAGTAAGAAAAGAGCTTGATAGCATACCTCTGTTCTACCAGGCATAATAGGCTTGCCAGCATATAGCTCAGAAAGAATGCAGCCAGTACTCCACAGATCTACAGCAACGCCATAATTCGTGGCACCAAGCAGAAGTTCTGGCGGTCTATACCAAAGTGTGACCACACGACTAGTCAAAGGGTGCCTTTGTTCAGGATCAAAGAAACTTGCTAAGCCAAAATCAGCTATCTTCAGTATGCCTCGGTTATCAATCAAGAGATTGGAACCCTTAATGTCACGGTGCAGAATGTGACGACTATGACAATGCTCAAGGCCTCGGAGTAACTGTTGCATGTAACATTTAACCTGTAAAGAAATCATGCTCATTAGCTGAATGTTCTAACCATGTGTGAAGTAAATGCTGCATGCGAATTAAGGGGTTTATATTGAATGAGAATGCACTAAGCACCCGTGCATCGGAATACCATGTACCTGAGGCTCGGTCAATTTTAGTCCAGGAAAAGAAGCTAGGCCAGCTAGGTCGTGCTCCATGTACTCAAAAACAAGATATAAGCTACAAGACATCCTCGAAGTTACGAGACCCTCCAGCTTAATAATATTTGGATGATCAAGCCGTCGCAAAATGAGGATTTCTCTGGCCATGAATTTCACACTCTCGGGCTCCAAATTATCAAAGCGTACTTTCTTTAGAGCAACAATCTTCTGTTTTTCAAGATCACGAGCTCTGTAGACATTACTGTATGTTCCCTGACCAATCTGAATACAAAAGAACAATGATTTTTATTGGATAATGAAAGAAAGGAACAATGATTGAACAGAATATTTTAAATTAAACTTAAACCACGTGACATTTATGTGCAGAAACCGACAACTTAATTCAGCAAGCATCTATGTACACAAGTTACAGCCAAAAATGCAAGTTCGAGAAACAATGCATTGCTTTTCAAGCTAAAAGTGCAAACCAAACGTATCAACAGCATGGAGGACAGAATGCCTCCCCCCATATGGCCATACCCTACCATCTAATGTAGTTCAATACAACGTGAAAAGTCTGATCCCGTTATTAGCACCGCCCATTTTTATCTTTCGCGGGGAAGCAATGTGTAGCTGAAAGTAGACACAGCCTTACTCGAACCTTGTCGCGATATATCTAGCAAGGGCTGCTGGGATGGAAGGGAATAAGCGTAATTCCTTAAGATGGGAAGGGAACTAAACTAAGATCCATGTGAACCTGAAGAGATTGGGCCTATTTTTTGCCTATCCAAACTAGCCCCCGGGAAGAAAGGATTGCCCCATTAATGGCAGGGATTGCGTAGTACTACTGTCTAACGTTTCCAGGTTCCATGTTCCACTGAGACTAACAAAACAAGTCCAAAAGAAAGAAAAGACCACCGCATTTTCCCATCCAAGATACTAAAAGCCATCCTCCACTCACAACAGAATTTTACTGTTACCAGTCGTCCCCAGCTACCAGTTATTACCACTGAAAAAAAGGCAAATTCCCCGGTTACAGCGCGATTTTGCAAATCCCAAGCATCCACTAAAGCAATCAATAAAGAAAGAGTAAAGAAGGGAAATGAATCGCCGTAATTCCTCGTCGTGTAACAGAAATCCGGAAGAGAAGGAGAGGCAACGATTGCAGGACAAATTTTTCTGATTTTTACTGTTCCGGTGTCCCGGAGCAGAGACCAGAGCTACAAGCAAAATGTGAAACGGACGGCGGAGAAAGGAAGAGAGCGTGACCTTGTCGAGCTTCTCGAAGGACTCGGCGCGGCGCGGCACCCAGCCGCGCACGGCCTCGGCGGCGACGGAGGCGAGCCACGGCGGCCACCCGGCCGCCACCTGCTCCGCCTCCAGCGCCCTCGGCACGGGGCTCCGCACCTGGCACGCCGCCATGGCCATCGCGGCCGCCCGCCTCCTCTCCAGCGCCTCATCCCGCGCCCGCGCCTGCTTCCGCGCCTCCTCCTCCCTCCTCGGCACCGCCGCTCCCGCCGCCGAGAGCTTCCCCGCCGGCGGGGGCGTCTGGACGCACCGGCCGTCGTCGATGGCCGCGGGGCGGCCGCACACGCAGCCCATGGTGACAGGGCGCCGGCTGCAACGGCGCCGGAGGGGCGCGCGGGTCGCTCGGCCCGGCCTGCCGCGCCGCCGGGGCAGTCACGGCATGCGGGGGAGCGGATCTCGGGGTTTCAGCGAATTGCGGGGGAGTGCGGTTAGGGTTTGGAGTGGGAGAGGGAGAGGGAGAGGGGGTGGATGGAACCTGGCAGTGGAGGCGGGCGAGTAGTGGGAGACTGACTAGCAACAGCCGGGTGAAGAAGACGGCGAGAGGAGAGAGGGACCTTTGCGTAATTTCAGGCTTTCCCTGAGGGTGTGCCGTGATATCATCATCGTTTGGCTGCTTCGACCTGCTTCTTTGGGAGTTTTTTCATGGGTACGCCTCTATGATTGTGTATTTACTGGTACATGCTTTTAAAATTTTGTTCGCATAGAGGCCCACACATTACAAGAACATAGTAATAACATATATATATCTGTACATCACCTAGCGATGACTACAAGCACTAAAATGAGCCGAAAGCGTACCGCCGTCATCACCCCTTCCTCACCAGAGTCGGGTCAAGCTTGTTGTAGTAGATAGTCGGGAAGTCGGCATGCTAAGACCTCATAGAACCATCGCACCAGAACATCAACTATCACCGATGAAAAGAAGTATAGATCGAAAGGACCCAACCTATAAACACATAAACGAAGGCAAGCAAAAACTGGATCCAAAAAGATCCAATGAAGACCAGCACCGACCGAATCAAACGATATCCGCCAGAGACACATCTCCACTCGTCCTCCGACGACAATAGACGCACCATCGAAACGGGACACACCTCCACACGTCCTCCATCTTTAGAGAGCCGCCATCGTCTTGCCTTTCCGAGCAGGTCACAGACCCTAAACAAACTTACAAAAACATCTAAAAAGAAGCAAGACCCCTCCCGCCGGCAAGAGTCACGGTCCACAGCGCCTCCATGGCCTTATGGCAACTGGAGACGAGGCGGACCGGCGCCGGTGCCGG